GTTAGCTGATATGGGTCTTTGTTCGTTTAGTGAGATCAGATTCTGGCACAGTGATTTTTATTATTGTCTATGTGCATAACTAAACTAAAAAAAGTTAATAATATTGTAGTTAATAAATATTTAATCTTTCTCTGTTTTAAAAATGATGTCACATAAGTGGCTGTAAAAAGATGTCAAAACTGTTAAAACAGTGTCTTTTGTAGGTGTCTCCCAAAGGATGAAAACAACATACACTGCTTTCGATAAGTAAAAAGTTGACTCCAGCCAGAGCCTGCTCTGCCTGCCTGTCCCTCATCTTTTCTGGGTCCATGCTGGTGTGTTTTAAAGCAAAACCAAACACTTCCTGTGTTCAGGGAAAGAAGTAATAGAAGTGTCGGTGTTTGTTAACATACTTGACAAACTATGGCAGCAAAAGCTATCCTTTTTATATTTTGGCATGAACAATGGCCCTTTTATTGGGCCATTAATGCTATTTCAGAGCATCATGCTGTATCCACAGGCAATAATTTAGCAGCTGTTTATCAGGAGCTTTCATAAAGCTTTGAATAGTATTACAACATTCAGTAACCCTAACAACAGCATTTCAGAATCTGTGCTGGTTTTAAATGGGATATCTGTGAATGTAAGTTGTTCAGGGATGCGTGACCCACATAACCTATAAATTTGATTGGAAGTTACAGTGCTGGCATAGGCTGATGGATAGCAGATTAGAGCCCTGATTAACCATGTGATTCACAAGCTGGGAATATACTGTCCTAAGAAAGATTCATTCGATGCAATCAGAATTTCAAGTGGTCAGATGAAATTCAAATGCACTGTGATCTTTATATCTGCCCCTTAAAACCCACCCCACCCCGACTCCTTCCTTGTGTTTTTCTTCTTGAGTTGCCCTGTGTAATTTATTTATTTATTTATTTATTTCATTTCCAGAGCTGAAAAATACTTCTTTGATGAATCTGTTCCTCACCCTAAAGCTGCCTGTCTGTTATTCATCAGAAAACAGGTCGCAGTTCAGTGAGCAGAAGAAAAGACTTTAATAGAAGCTGTGCCAAGGGCTGTAATGCATCATTTTAGGGCCCTAATTACATTACAATGACAAATATCAATGGTGACAACAGCAATAACCTACATCCTTTAATGACTGTGGAAAAAGGAGTTTGGGCGCTGCGCCATCAGATTAGACTTGGTTTCAAAACATAGGCCATTAGAAGTGTGTGTGTCCACAGTATTGGCCGATAACTGAAGCCCAGTGGAAAGGCCTCTAAATAAATGATGCCTCTCTAAAGCCTGGTCTCATGGGACATAGGAGGCAAATGAGATGACTGCAGAAACATCAATGTTTCTGAGGCAACTTTGGCTTTCATTGTCAGGAATTTGCTGTCTGATTTTATGAAATCACACTTTTTCCTTCTCCTGGCAATTAGTACGATCATGAAAAACCCATTGGCCTGATGTTTAAGAAAAAAGAGAAGGTCCTAAACTGATCTTTAAATCTAGGGTTTTAATAATCTGTATCAGCATAGCAGTGTGAAGTGGGCTCGTGTTTTATTTTGTGTCTTTGTACCTGATGCAGAGGAGTTTCTAAGCCCCCTCTGATGGCAGTAGGAATAGGTCTTCGAGATGTTAACCTCTGGCATCAGTACTTACACCTTCAAGTTTTAGGGTGGCATCGCAAGAAGCCCACTCTAGCTAACTCTTTGGTAAGTTCTGTGGCAAACAGTCAGCCTGGTTGCTGCGGTATTATCCTGCGCAGTTAGTTGCAGAAATCGTTGCAGTGTCAAGGCAGAGGATGCTTTGTACTTGCTATGTGAAAATGTCTGATTTAAGATATTTTTGGTACAGAATGTGTTATGTCCTTCCTGTCACTGTGCACGTACACAGTATTTTCTTTTCTTCTACTCCTTCCTGCTCCTGGTGGTCTCCAAAGGCAGGCAGTCTGTGCCCTGGTCATGCTGTGTCTCTGCAGGCCACTGCATCTCAGCTGGGCTGTTCCCTTGCTGCCCAAGTGTTGAGGGTGATAAAAATGAACTGTACTCAAAACCACTCAATTGGAGATGGTCATTACTGGGGGAAGTGAAGACCATTTTAATAAGGAAACCGTGTAAACGCCTGCTGCAGCGTACCAAGGCGTTTTCAGCTTTGTTGTGACTGGCCTACTGGGCCCTTGCCTGAGCTGAGAAATGCTGCTGGGGAATGTCTCGGCATTGTTTGAAGCTGTTTTAGCCAGCATTTTGTTCTTCTCTGTGGGTTTAGCTGGGTGCTGTCTCCTTCAGCTCCCTTTCCTGCATAACAACATGAAAGGACTCGCAGTTCTGCACTCCCGTGAGATTGTTATCAAGAAGTTTATTACAGTTGTGTAACTGTTCATGTTCAGTCACCTGCTTTCAGTTACTTGCAGCTTTTTTGGAAGATGCTTTTTAGCTTAACATTTCCCAGGCGCAGGATTTGCCGGAGGTGAATTTTTTGTGTAAACACTGAGTAGATATGTTTCAACCATTTTTGTGGCCAGAAGAGCAATAGAAGAGAGACATAATTCTTCTACTGGGGAGGAGGGAGGAAAAGAGATCAAAAGAAAAACATCATAGCTGAAATAGCTTGAAATAGCTGGGTTTGAGTACCTTAATTAAGAAGAAATGCCTCAAAGTGAGTGGAATAAAATTGTTTTTGTTGACTAAACTGTATTCAGCTGAACTAGAATTTACTGGTTTGTTGGAGAAGTCGCGTTTGGTGGAGAAGTCGCTGAAGTTTTACAGCCTGTTTTACTTAGGAGGTGAGATAAGACAGTTGTAGCAGTTCCTTTTGGCCTTAAAATCTATGGATCTACAAGCCTTTTAAAATTACACAATGAGCTCTTGCATGCCTAACTATTCTGTGATTCTGTGGTCCTGTGGCACTTTGAGCCAGATGTACTCACAGTTCCTAAGCAGTGCAGTAGAGGCATCCAGCTCACGTACCTGTGGTGGAAAAGCGGTCTGCTGAGCACAGCTATGGCACAGGCTCCCTCCAGGTGCTGCACGGGAGGTGTGTGAGATTGTGACACGCATGTTAAAGGTGGGTAGGAGGAGTTGTTTTGCAGCAGAGGAAAACATTGTGTGCCTTTTCTTTATGAAGACATCTATGTGTATTAAACGGCAGGTCAGAGGGGCTTCAGCTCAAGTCAGCATGGTGACATTTGGAAGTTTTCTCTTGATATGAGAAAGCCTTGAAGAGCGGGACGCCTGGTTTTCTCCTTAGTTTTAAGGCACTCAGGGGATTCCTTTAAGAAAAAAAAAAAAAAAAAAAGCTTTGTGGTTGAGGCCTGAAATTTGGAAATAAGTAAATTAATGGTGCTTGAACCACAGCAGTACAGTTACTTTGCAGCTGTGCATTATATTACAGTCTTCAATTCCTCAATCAAATATTGTTTCTCAAGTAATGCTGCAGCCTGTGTGGCTGAAGCTTAGGTGCACGCATCTTGTCACTCACTTCCTGTACTGCTCTGTGTACAAGCAGTTCATAAATCTCTGTGTCAACTAGTATAGTAAACAGTGTCTATTTAAAAGGGCATTAAAGTTTTACATTGTGGCATATCTGATATTATAGGCATATATAGACTTTTGAAATTAGCAGGTGATTCAGCTTTGTGGCAAAAAAGAACATATTCTCAAATACCCTTTAAGGTACCTGTGCTGCAGAATAAACAGAACAGGTGTAGTAGGTGTGTTAAAATGTGTAATTTTAACAACGTGTGGACTTGCATAAACAGTGGAGACCAGTGAGAAGATACCGGGACTTTGTAACATAGAAATTGCTATATAAATAGCATGCAGCAGTTTAGATACATTTCAGAGAAAATGAAGAAACTGTATTGCAAAGTTGTGTTAAGTCGAGTGTATCAGAGTGTGCACAAGGGGGCAGAATTAGTTTCACATGTGCCCTTACCTCTAGTGTACCATGTCTTCCAGTTAGAGAGCTGTGTAACAGTAATATTCCTCAACCCAGATCCATATTATCTGTGGTTCTGACTTTTTTGCTGCTAGTTCTGAGCCTTTCTGTTCTATAGGTACTTTTCTAAGCATTTACAATTTAAAAGCATAGCAAAAAGGCTGGAAGGGTTGCCATTGAAAGAAGGAAGCGTAAATTGCACAGGTATGTGTCTTTGTCTTGTGGTTAGAGGCTTTGCAAGAGGAAGAGCATTCTGTCTTACTGTATAATGAGGAAATTATCTTGGTTACAATTTATTGTAAGAAAGTTAGGATTTATTTTAAGAAAGTCTGTGTGACTTTAAATATTCTGTTTCTGGAGCTGTAATTTTTGTGTTATCTCTACAAATCTCATCAATCTCTGTTGAGATTTGCGGATTAAATACACAGAACAAGAATTGATCTCCAATATGAAAATAAAACAATGCGTATTATTCATTTCTGATCACCATTGCAACATGCAAGTAACCACTATTAACCTTGGGTTTAATAACAGCATAAATATGATGTAAGACTGCAGTATCTCTTTCTAAAATACATGGTAGAATGATTATCAATGTATTTGTATATTGTGTTGCTGATGTTCTCATGATACTCGGTGTTAATACTAAGTAACTGTTTTGTTTGTTCCCTTTGCTTACAGTGGCATTGCTGGAATATGAAATGATCCTTGTTTTTGTCTATTAGGAGAGAGTTTATTTCAAAACACAGTGTTAGGTATTTTATTTATTTTTTTTTGTTACATCTCCTGAAGGTTTTTTTCTTTAAATCCCTTTGATTGCATAATCAGAATTAACTTTTCTTTGTGTCAGTTCTAAGGTGTCTTTTTTAAGGAAAACTTTTTAGCTAGGAGTTACTGGCTTCCTATGTATTGTTTAGTTGGTGTCCAAATTCTTTTATTATTTAGATAGTACGTCCTGGCCAAAGGATGACTAGAGATGAAAAATAACTCCAGAGAAATGTATCATCTATGTTCACAGGTGACAATTGCATCTGAGAATTTATATAATTGAACTTCATTCTTCTTGTCACTTGCAGGCAGAAATTGTCAAGAGACTGAACGCTATATGTGCCCAAGTCATTCCCTTCCTGTCCCAAGAGGTAGGTAGTCACTTGTACTGTTGCTGATCTGAACAATTGCCTCATCGTATCTATTACAAAAGTGGGATTTTGTGTTGAGACTGTTACCTTATGAAACTTTTGGTCCTTGCAGGTGACTTTCCGCTGTGCTGTTGTCACTGTAACTTCATTATCTTTTCCAAGTCCACTGTAATATAATTTCAGTATATTTATTAAATGGAACATGTTGCAGTGTGCTTAGTTGTTTAAATATACTGATGTCATGCAGAATGCAGTTTTTATAAAAATTATGACTGTTGGTCTAAAATGTGTGATTTGTGCTACATTCCTGGCAGCAGGCATTAAAGTTTGGCAGAAACTTCTATTTTGGTGTACTGAGTAGTGATGTTCAATACAGGAAGCATACAAATGCAGCTTTTCTCCTGCCTTTTTTCTCTCTGTATCCCAGATTACTTAATTACCTTAAATCCTTTTATGTTTTCTACATATTTGGGAATATAGACAGAAGGTTGAAATTCACTGTGAGATAATTTCTCTAAGGACTAATTTTCTCCAAATTATGATTTCCTGGTATAATGTTGAGTGCATTGTAGATACTTTGAGGGACACTGGGATTTGGGGGAGTCAGTGGGAGCTAGTGAGGAAGCCTTGGAGCCACAGATACGCGTGAAATAAAATGAAAGCGTGGCTCATGAAGGAAGATCTTGCGTGCATAGCTGCTTCCCCTGCCCACTCTGTTAAGGGAAAGTGGCTAGAGACTGGGGTCTGCTGGTGCAGGCTGGCATGCATCTTTTTAATGCATGGATTCATTTCACTAGAATTAGTAGCTGAAAAGCCAAAGCTGGGAGGTGTATTTCTGTGCATTGCATTCCTGAGAACGCTCTGCAACAATTACTCCCACCTTTTCAGTTGTTCCATAAAATGCCATTGCATTTCAAGGTTGCTGCTCATCTTGCAGCAAATGAGAGGCTGTGTGCTCTGTATCAGCATTCAGTTAATGTGATGCATGTGTGCATGCACATTCATATCTCTGCATATTTGAAATGAGAATAGCGCTATCAAAACTAGAACCTGACAATGTTCATGAGTGCTGCTCTACTCTCTGCTTATAAAGATGGATTCTTGGAAACTATATGGTGTGTAATGATCTAGTTACATTGCTGGTGGATCCGAGCTCAAGTCCTGCATGGATCTGAGCTGAGTAGCTGTTGATTTTGTACTTGACTGCTACAGAATCTCCATATATCTAGTCACAGGATTTTATTTGATGTGCAGGAATAGGACAGCATATAAAAATGAGGTGTAAAGCTGATTCATACTCATGTTAAAGTGAGCACTAAACTGACATGATTTTGAAACAAAGGCAGAAGTGAGTACTTGGCAGGCAAAGCTGTAATTTTGGCAAAGACGTGGGATCAGCATTTGCACAGCAGAGAAATCTTCTCTAGAGTATGTGGTGCTGTGTTTAGAAACTATGTACCAGTATACTACTGCTACTGCATTTAGAAACTTTGTACTGGTATATTACTGCTGATACTGGTAGTGCTGTTTTCAGCCAAGTGCCGAACGAAACTTTATTACCGCACATAGGTCACACAGCTCTCCTTGCTCTGCTTCTACAAATGCAACCCATATGCTTTCTTGAGTAGGTGTTTCTTGACAATTAGACAAGCAAGAGGATTGCATGGGCTTAGAATACATTTGAAAGAAAAACAGAAGTGTTTGATTCACAGTGACCGATAGATTTTGGCCTTTGATTTTGGAAGTCCTGACCTCCACCTCCTCTACATACTCTCATAGAATCGAGAGGGGGGGAACAAAAAAGAATAGTTTTGGAACTTTGCTCTTAGTGTCATCCCATTCAGGTAAGCATGGTCTGTCTCCTTTTTTTCTGCTCCCCATGCATTGTGCTCTGCTGTCCCCGGAACTGGATCACTCTGGAGTCATTCTCCTGGAAACTGATACTGGTACATTTTAAGTCCCTGCCTTAGAGGGAGAAGGCACTGTGAAGGCTACATGTTGTACTTCATTCTTTTCTTCCACTGAGGAGAATCTCCCATGTGGTGCTCATGCAGTAACTTGTGAACTGTGAGCCAAGATCACTGTTTAACAACCTCCTGGCCATCAAGCTAGGCATGGAGAGCAATTTTAAAGTAATTCTGAACTCAGCCATTGCAGTAGCTTGTCATTAATCACTAGTTACAAGAACTATGTAAGTAGACAACTGAGGTAGTCAGATTGTAAATTTAGAAAATGGTGTTGTCCCACTTCTATCATGAGTACAGTACCACCCAGTGAGGGCTTAAGCACACCATCATCAGTGTGCCTAATGACTGCTGTTTACTTTGTTATGCTTTAGATCAGAGCTTTGAGTTAAGCAGTTTTAGATCTGGAAAAAAGACTCATACGGCTTGCGTGCTAGCGGGCATCTGCTTTTTAAATCTGTGGCCCATAAAGTTTCCTACACCTGTTTACACATGTCATTTGCCAAGTCATACAGCCTCTCTGCTGTGTGTGTTGCCTGGCATCAAAGCTCTTTGGGCTACAGAGAGGATGGAGAGGTCAAAAAATTCCCAACTTCAGCGGTTTCCCATGCATTGACAAAAGACAAAAGGGAGCACTTCCAAAGAGCCGGTGTACACATTAGTCATGTGTGGAGGCAAGGGTGCTTTTTAATTCACCTAGCAAAGGAAGGGGGGGACAATACAGCAGAGAGGGATTGAAAGAGAAAGCACAAAAAAACTTTTCATCCATCTTGACAGTGCTTCTGATCATGATAGTTTTCACACTGGGGATAGGAAGATCTTAGTAATTGTTAGATCTCTGTTAGCAGAAATAGTTCTTAAATGAGTTTATATTAGCATGTGCTTATGAAGCAAAAAAGATCTCCAGATTTGAGTAAGCTGCTAGACTTGGTTTCTAGCTAATTTGTGTCTTTTAAAAGTGAGTGTCTTAATGTAAATCTCTTTGTTTCATCATCTAGATTAATAGAGAATTGAATTGCAGCATGCTTTTGCTGTTTATCCGTTTTCCATACAGTCTAATTGTGGAATAGTGGCTGAAAAATGTGATCAGACTCCTTTGTATTGTGCCTGAGGGAAAAATGAACAAAATACAGTGGTTACATGCACTGATGGCAACATTATTGCCTCATAATAGCACCAGGTTAACTTGTCTTATTGCTTGTTAACTTTGTAAGGAATCAATGGCTTGTGATAACTCACTTAGAAGTAAGAAATCGTGGCCAAAATCGCTAGAGATCTTGAGAAAAGGATGCAATTATAATACATCATCCTACTGTGTACTAGTGTCTGCTTTATTTCAGGGGGAAATCCAGTAAAGAATTCAGGAAATCCTGCAGGCTTCAGTCAGTTTTACTGTGCTGTACATCATCTAAGCATGTATTAAAAATAAAGTCCTTAACCTGCCTACATACATCGTCAAGTGGTACCTTGTTTTTACGTAGACTCTGACTCAGTCAGGCAATAAAAAAAGAGCACCAAGAAATATAGGCATGGGGAATAAACAGGAGGAGTTAGAAGTCTGTGTGTGGTCTAACGATTATGATCTGGTGGCAATTACAGAGACATGGTGGGACAGCTCACATGACTGGAATGTGGTCATGGATGGCTATTCCTTTTTAGGAAAGATAGGTCAGCAAAGCGAGGTGGTAGATTTGCTCTTTATGTGAGAGAGCAACTAGAATGTATTGAGTTCTGTCCAGGGGCAGATAAGGAGCAAGTGGAAAGTCTATGGGTGCGAATTAAGGGACTGGCTGCTATGGGTGATACAGTTGTGGGGGTCTATTATAGACCTCCTGATCAGGACGAAGGAGTTGATGAGGCTTTCTACAGGCAACTGAAAGCAGCCTCATGACTACATGCCTTGGTCCTCATGGGGGATTTTAACTATCCCGATATTTGCTGGAAGACTCACACAGCCAATCATTCACAGTTTAGGAGGTTCCTCCAGTGCATTGATGATAATTTCTTAATGCACATGGTGGACAAACCAACTAGGAGAGGAGGGCTGCTGTATCTAGTACTCACCAACAAGGAGGGTCTGGTTGAAGTGGTGATGGTCAATGGCAGCCTTGGCTGCAGTGACCTTGAGATGGTGGAGTTTAGGATCCTGTGTGGGAGGAATAGAATACCTAGCAAGGCCACAATTCTGGATTTCCGAAGGGCCAACTTTGGCCTCTTCAATCAATTGCTAAGGGAAGTTTCATGGGAAAGGGTATTAGGTGGTAAAGGGGATTAAGATAATTGGTCAGCATTCAAGGACTACTTCTTCCAAGCTCAGGATCAAAGTGTCCCAATGGGTAGGAAGTCAAGTAAGGGAGCCAGGAGAACAGCGCATTTAAACAAGGAGCTCCTGGGCAAACTCACGTGGAAAAAGAAAATCTATGGATTATGGAAGGAGGGGCTGGCCACTTGGGAGGAATATAGGACAGTTGCTAGAGGATGTAGGGAGGCAATTAGGACAGCTAAGGCCTCCTTGGAACTTAATCTTGCAAGTTGGGTTAAGGACAATAGAAAGGGCTCTTTCAAATACATAACGGATAACACTACACAAGAGGCAATATAGGCCCACTGTTGAATGAGGTGGGTGCCCTGGAGACAGAGGATTTAAAGAAGGCAGAGGTGCTGAATGCCTTCTTTGCCTCTGTCTTAACTCCTGCAGACTCTCCCTGGGGGCCCCAGATTCCTATTGCCCCAGAGGGAGTCAGGATAAAGGAGGAGTTTGCTTTGGTGGATGAGGATTGGGTTAGGGATCAGTTAAGCAGTCTAGATGTCTATAAATCGAAGGGTCTGGATGGAATACACCCACGGGTGCTGAGGGAGCTGGTGGAGGTCATTGCTCGGCCACTCTCCATCATCTTTGGTAAGTCGTGGGAATCAGGAGAGGTGCCTGAGGATTGGAGGATGGCAAATGTCACACCAGTCTATAAGAAGGGCAAGAAGGAGGACCCGGGTAATTATAGACCAGTCAGCCTTACCTCCATCCCTGGAAAGGTGATG